GGCCCTGGCGACAGAGTGCACCATGGCGTGACGTGCCTGTGTGGCGCTCCAGGTCGGACAGAGGCCGTGCAATGCGCACCCGCACGCCGTCGTGCACACCGCTGTGGGCAGTGTTGTCGTCAGGGCACTCGCCGTGGGCAAAGTGATCCACGGCAAAGCTGGATACACCCGGGGGGGCGCCAGGTTGGAGCCAAGTTCGGGGAAGAGAGTTGGATGCCCTGTGTTTCTTAATAAGCGTGGGGGGTAGCCCCCCGACGGGGGTCAACCTCGCCTCGTCGTCGCGCCGCGACGGGGGTCGAACCGCCTTTGGCGCGCGGTGGCTGCCCGCGACGGGGGTCGATGCGGGGCTGTCGGCGGGGGTGACGCCCGCCCGACGCTTATTAAGAAACTCGGAGTACCCAGAGCACCGTTCTGAGCAGACAGGGACAAGCGGGCACCACATGAGGTGTGGGACCTGCTCAGGAAGCGGTGCTGGGCACCGCCTTCTCCTGGGAGCCCAGCTTGAACAAATATGACGTGTCCTCAGAGGTGGCGTCAGGTCGCGGTGAAACCCCAATGTCGGGCGGATGCTGCGCAGTGGACGCACATGCTATGTCAGCCGTGCCAGTGTGGACCAGACCGTCTAAGTGGTGGGGCACGCTTCCACGCATACCTACTAGAACCATCGCGCGCGCTTCGCGCGCGCTCAAGTTCTAGTTAGGCTGGATGGTCGAACACTTCAGGCTTCCTGTTGGGCTTCCCGGGGCCCAGGGCTGGAAATGTTCGTTCGGCCCCCGTCTGGACCGCTGGGGCCTCCTCCGGCCTCCTGGATGCTGCTTGAGGCCGCTTGGGGGCCTCTTGGGCTCTCTCAGGGGCCTCTTGGGGCCTCCTCGGAGCATCCTGGACTGCTTCTTGAAGTCGTCATGTGACCTTCTTGGCATGTCTTCGGGGGCCTCTTAGAAAGAGTTTTGAAGCCTTTGGGATGCTGTCTTGGGGCCTCTTGGAGCCTCTTTTGGGTTTCTTGGGGGCCTCTTGGGGCCTCTTGGGGGCCTCTTGGGGCTTCCCTTGGGGCCTCTTGGGGGCATCTTGGGGCGGAGAGCTTGATTTTTCAGTTCGCGTTCCCTCTCTTGTGCCCCTCTTGGGGCCTTCTTGGGACCCTCTTGCGCCGTCTAAGGCGGCTCTGGGGCCGTCTCGGGGCTCTCTTGGGCCGTCCTGGGGCCCTCTTGGTGGCCTCTTGGACCGTCTGAGAGCGGTTTGGGGAGCCTCTTGGGCGGTGCTTGAGCGCCGGAAACACGAAACCGCGAGAATGCCCCCCCCCCCAAAAAAAATTATCACATCAGTGAAAATCGACGATTTTGCCCCATCGGGGCGCTCTTAGGGCGGCATCTTAAAAGCCTCTCGGGGCGTCTTAGGGGCCTCCGGGCAGTTTCACATGCATCGTGCGTCGCCAGAGACCCCTGGACGGCGCCTTGGGGGTGTCTCGAGACCGTCTGGGGCCGCTGGGATTGCTGTCCGAGGGCTCCCCGGGGCGGATTTCAGGCCTCCCAGAGGCGGGCCGGGGCCGCGGGGCCCACACTTGTGGTCCAGGTTCTGGCCCTGTGCCCCCGGGCCCGGTGCGCAGTTACGTACATGTATACTAGAACCATCGCGCGCGCTCAGGTTCTAGCCCAGGCTGGGGGCGCGCCAGAAGATCTTGGACAGCGCTATCAAGCACAGGCGCGTGGCATGGTCGTGCCTCCTGAGGGCCTCCTGGGAACCTCTTGGGTCTCGGGGGGCCTCTTGGAAGCCTCTTGCGGGGCCGCTGGAGGCCCTTGGAGGCCTGCCGCGGGCGTCTTGTAGACGTGCATGAAGGTTTCTGGGGAAGCCTCTCAGAAGCCCGTTGGGGCCCTCTTGGGGCTCTCCTAGGGGCTTCCTGGGAACCTCGGGGTGCCTCTTGGAAGCCTCTTGGGGGGCCTCTGGAGGCCTGTGGGGGCCTGCCGCGGGCGTCTTGGGGGCCTCTTTGGGCCTCTTGGGGGTCTCTTAGGGGCCTCTTGGGGGCCTCCTGGGGCGGGGGGGCTGGAAGGTTCAGTTGGGTTTCCCATCTTGGGCCTCTCTTGGGGCCCTTCGGGGACGCGTTTGGGCCATCCTGGGCGCCTCTTGGACTGTCCTGGGCCCCTCGGGGGCCGTCTTGGGGCGCTCTTGTGGGCCTCGTGGGCCGTCTTGGGGCGGTCTAGGGAGAGTCTGAGGTCGTAAAGAACGGTACGAAGGCCTAAAAATCGAATATGGTAAAAATGTACGTTTTACGAAAGGAATGGGGCTATTTTTGCTTCCGCGGGCCGTCTGGGGGGATCTCTTGGAGGGGTCTTCGAGCGTCGTGGAGGCGTCTGGGGCGGTTCGAGACGCCTCTTGAGCCGCTGGAGACGGCTGGAGGTTGTCTTGAGGGTGGCTCTGGGCGGCCTGGGGCCGCCTTGACGGCCGTCTGGGCGCTCCGGGGGCCGACCTGGGGCCCACCGTGAAGCGGGCTGGGCCCGACGTCCCCGCATTTGTGGTCGGGGCTGCGGCCCCGGGGCCCCGGGGCCCGGTGCGGCGTTATATGTGTACTTGGCATTGTGGACGGCACAGGTTGGCAGTACTGGGGGCTGTGAGTTGCGAGCCCCGCTCGGAGAAGGAGGCGGCCCACTAGGCACGCACGCCTCGTCGGCGGATAGGGCACAAGGGACCTGGCATCCGCCGTGCCTGGTGTACAGTTCACGGCTGTCGCGCGAGAGGCGCGAGTGAAACTCGCTACTCCCACGGCGGTTGAATCCTCTCCTGTGTACTTCCAGGGGGAGGAGGTGGAGGAGGAAGAGGAGGAGGGGGAGGTGCCAGAGAGCCATGCAAAAAGAGGAGCAGAAAGAGGAGACGTGAAATAAGGAAGCAGAGGAAGGAAGGGGGAGTAAAGGAGAAGAGCGAATCACGTCCGCACTGGGTTGTGAACCTGTCGCATGAATATTACCAGTGCCCCCAGTTTTGAGAGCGCTGGTCACCACCTTGCTTGTCCTTCCCAGCATCCACCATCTGGTCATCCTACTCCTTCGCCACGTCCTCCGCCTCGTCCCCCTCTTCCTGTGAAGCAGGAAAGAAAGGATGAAAGGCAGGCGAGCAGGAGGAATACTTCTGCCACCCCTTTCACCCCACTGGGCATCGCTCGGACGTCCATTCCCTGTGCTTTTTTCGGTGTCGTGCGTGGCTTTTTTTCGCCAAATGATCAAGGATGCTCCTCGATGGTCCTCGCCGTAGGAGAAATGCACACGTCCGAGCGATGCCAAGCCCAGATGACTGCGATCCTCATCCTTGTCGTCATCAGCCATGTCTTGACTACCTGCCAGTCCACCCCAACCCAACCCGAAGACCCGAATTTGACCCGAATTTCGGGTTGGGGGGGGTACGGGTTCCATGCATTTTTTCAATGTTCCCCGACCCCCCCCCACTGGAAATCGAGGATAAATTTGGGCCTTCGGGTTGGGTTGGGGTGGTTTGGTGGGTGGTGATGTCTAAAAAGATCGCGCCGCGCCGGGAAGAGGCAGCTTCCGCCTGCTCGAGCCTGTGGGCGCCGCAGCGGACCTGTCGGAAGCTCAGAGCAGGATTTTGAAGGGGCCCAGAGACACACAAACAAATACACACGGATAAAAAGATTCCCCATATTTCCCATATCTTCTGGGCTTCTGTCTTCCCCCCCATTTCCCATATGTTCCCATATCTTCTGGGGAATCCAAGATCAATTGTGTCTGTGTGTTTTTTCCCCTCCAGAGATTTGTGCACGAGGCCAATCGAATGACGGACGTTGCACGACGGTGCTTCGATCGTAAGCTACAGTCAAGGCCTGAACATCTCGGGGCCCGTCCCCCGATGCCCGCCCGTGCTTACCCACGCTGAGATGGTCCGCGGGGTCCGTGCCGCGATGGAGCCCTCGGGAGGCACTTGGGGCTGCCTCGGAGGCCCTAAGGCCGGCCGAAGATGCCAAAAGCGCTGAAAACACTGAACTGTTGCATGAATGTCTGACTCCCGGCTTTTCGGTCTTACGAGCGTCCCAGACGGTCCAAGTGGACCCAAACAGATCGCAGCAAAACGGCCCCCGAGGCCCCCAAGAAGGGCACCCAGAGTCCCCCGCGAGGGGCCCCGAAGGGAAGAAGTCGAGTCATCTCTCCCAGATGAGCCTGCAGACCGCCGGCAGGCCGCCAGGGCGCGCCCAAGACGCCCCCGTGGACTCATAAGAGAGCCCCTGCCAAGCGGCAAGAGACCCCGAAAAGGCCCCCGAGAGGCACCTGAGAAGCCCCCCCAAGAAGCCCCCGAGAGACCTTCCAAGGGACCACAGAAGAGACTGAAGAGACCTCCCGTCCACGAAACAGCACGGTGGCAGGTTGGGCCCAAGGTCACAAGATTATACACTGAACCAGATCCCACCACTCCCTCCCGAACTCTGACCGATACTCACTCAGGAATTGGAACTGATAAAAAATACAACTCTTTCTCGTCGACTCGTGCACCTGCTTCTGCTCCCGCCACGTCGGACTCCCCCTCCTACGCATATCGGGCCGGGCGAAACGGGGGATAGCAAAGGGGGGGGGTGACAATCAGCTCACGTAGCTGATTTTCCCGGCGCCTCCCGGCGCCAGAGGCGGCTATGCATCGAGGAATGGGCCCCTCGGCGGGGCCGAAACCAGCTGCATGCAGCAAATGTCGTAACCCCCCCTTTCCATATCCCCCAGTTCCGTCCGGCCAGAGCATACGTTCGCGCACGTCGCCGAGACGATACCAGGAAGAGCCAAGATTGTCAGGTCCTCTCGAGGTGGAGGCCGTGGAACCAGACCCGGCCCACGCCAGCTGGCCGAGGGTGCTAGGCCGCAGCGACGCGATGGAACTGCGAGGGCATACCGCACGAGGGGCCCACGGACCCACTTCGAGGAGGAGGACGAGAAGGAGGAGGAGGAGGAGGAGGAGGAGGAGGAGGAGGAGTGGTGGCACGGTGGCATGAGACATGGTGTCTGTGCTCTGGATGCTGCATGCAGCCGGATGCTACAAGCAAAAGGAAAGTCGGCCCGCCTGCGGGGGGGGCCGAAGGAGAAGCTGAGGGCGCCCTGCCAGGGCGCACGCTGCCGGTGTTCGGCAGCTCGCTTGGCCTCCCTCCGGATCACGGCCCCCCTCCGGTGGGCAGCTACACGGGCGAGCTGCTCGGCGGTGAGGAAGGGCGGGGGAGGCGGGGGGGGGAGGAAAAGGGCAAAGGTCCCAGGAAAGCATCAACCTCTAGCTCAGAGCTCAGGTCCCCGGGAAAAAGGAGAAGAGAGGGCTCAGGAGCAGGAGTGGGAGCTGGGTCGGGAGCTGGTGTCGGAACATCATCATCCTGGCCCCTTCCTTCCATGAATCTGTGCATTTCTGGATCCACTCTTTGACGCTGTGCTTGTGGTACCTGGCGCGCAAAGTCTGGTGCAACTGCGAATTCCTCTCCCATCTCCTTGCAATAGAAAGTCCAGAGATCCTCGACCAAAGTAGTGTCGGAGTCCTCTGCATTCACATCACAGTCTGCGGGTGAGGCAAACTGGGACTGCATCGTGTCGGCAATGGCAGATGCGATATAATTGCACATGTTGGTCGGGTAGGTTTTCTTACGACTCGTACGAAACCTCCCGAGCTCGTCTTTTCCCTGCAATGAGAGATGGGATCCTTTGGGGTGGTTGCATCGTCCATTAGACCCTGCACTAAGTAGGTTGGCCGCAAGTGTGGGCATACGGAACCCAAGGAGCCTGGTGGGGGCCTTGCCGATGGTCTCTGGTCCACAGTCGCGGTGCACACATTGGTCAAAGTTAGCTGTGTAACACACGGGGCTAGATTGTAGCGCTTCCAAGGGTTCCCAGTAGAAGCTCGATGGTGCTTGAGACCTCCACCACGCGGGCCCTGGATGTTCCATCCATGCGCCCGCGCCGGCAACAACATGGCATGCAATTAAATGCACCGTGCTCCACAACAGACTGCTGCTCACGTCAAGCTGCTGAGACTGTCGATCCGTCACATCGGGCAGCCCCCAAATCCATGCTTGCGTTCTGAGTGGGGGGGCCCCATCCAGCCATCTGGCTGCGCTCCACGTCTCGCATGGTGGCCCCCCCCCCCCCCGTATTCCATACTCTCCTGGCCAGGATATGCTCGGCCCACGTGTCGATAGTGGACTGTCTGGTGAGGTCACCTAACTCTGTGCTGATGTCTACGTCCACACTGAGCATTACAACTTCATATTGTGTAGCGGTGCAGTGTCCTTCCATCCATGTCTGGATGTCTCCGTGTCTCCGCTTCCCAGAGAATAGGTTGAGGATGAAAATGGTGGTGCGGTGGATGCGACATGGTACTTTTTCCTTAGCCCATCCCGTGAAGTCCTGGGGTCGATACCTCCAATATCTGTCGGCATATTGTGGTAGCGTAGGCTGTGCAGTGTCCTCCGCGTCGGCAAGTAGCGCCTGATATTTGGATTGTGCCTCCTGGGTAAATTCGTAGCATGCTTCAGGAGTGCGTAGTATCTCTCTAGCTTCTCTGTCCGTGCAGTGAGAAGCCACGAGCATGGCGGCGGGGTATAAGCCGTCAGGCGGTACAATAAGTCTGGCCGGGTAGGCGCTCCTCCAGCGCCCTAGCCCTGCCTTCTTTTGTCGGGCGAGGTCGGTGACCTCCTGTTGCTTGAGCTCCTCGGCTCTGTCGGCACTGAGCACTGTACCGTGGAGAGAAATACGCCAGGCAGCAACGTGGGGCGTCATATGCAGCATGGTTGCGTGGCGCCCGCCTGCTGGAAAAGCATGTGGAGCATGACATGCATAAGGACCCTTCCCCCATGAATATTGACACTATGTCCACAAAGCTGTAGTGCGCACGTATGATGTGCTGACGGAGCCCTGTGGTAGTGGTAGCTTGGTAGGTACACCACATGCACAGTAGCTCTGGAGTAGGAGCTGGGGCAGGGAAAAGGGGGCGCGTCGGATCTGCAATTGGTTCTGGTACCCCTACCGCCCGTACCATCTCGAAAAAATTGCTCGATACCTTCTGCGCCAGGGCAGCTCTTGCCTGGGCCTTCGCCTCGGCTCTCATGGCGGCGTTCAGCGTACGCCTCCATGCTGACAGAGAGCACAAAATGTGCTGTTCCCACCTGGCAAAGTCGCCCTTCGGACTGGGCATACTTCGCATCTTGACATGCACCGTGCGTAGCCAGTCCATGTCGTCAAACACTCGATGCAACCATGATGCTCCATTGCGCCCGTGCATCGTACGGTAAACGTGTGCAACAAGTCCGCGTAGTGCGTGGGTACCGTAGTGAATAAGACGCCCAAGTAGTCGGAGCCTGTGTATCCTTAACACAGTGGTGAGCGTGGCTCTCTGTGCGCGCGCAAGCACGTACACGTCGCACTCTGTATGCCCCGCGTTGTGCCGAAGGCGCAGGACCTGTCTGCACTCATTGAGCATCACATGCTGTAGGTGTGCGTGCTGCGTGGATGTTAGTTGTGGCCATGTCCCTGCGTTGTGTCCGTGAGATGCAGCGCCGCCACCCTTGGTAGGACATGGTTGGTAGCGAAAATTCGACGTCTCAGCTGTTGGGAGGATTGCTGTATCGAGGCCTCCCTGTGCGCGAGCGCGGGCCCTATGGAGGCGAGCTCGTCAAGGTCGGTGCCTAGGTGTGGGCAACGGCGTACAGCCCTCAGAGTAAACTGTCCCAGCAGCGGTGAGTCGATGTGAAATTGACCCTGCAAGTCATGCCATAGTAGGTGCTTTGCTGCTCGGGATCCTCTGCCCCTCAGCTGAAATAGCACTTCTGTTTTTCTTTCTGCAAAGTTGAGCTCGAGCCCTCTGCGCACGAAGCTGGCCGCAACTATTTCCACCACTTCCGGAGCCACTTGTACTAGATGCATGGCTGGTCCTTACAGCACAAAGGCCCCGTCGTCAAAGAAGCATATGTGTAGGTCTCCTTGCATTATGTCAGGGGTCTCCTGGAGCATCTGAGTGAGGCTGCAGTGGAGGCCGATGGGGATCTTGATCTCAAGCTCAAGCTCCCTTAGGCCAGCTTGGGCCTCCTTGACACGCGCGGACATGGCGTAATTGAAAATAACGTCTCCCAGTCGTTGGCCAGGGACCGCACCCGATAGGGTGAAAGCAACCGACGTGGCCCCTGGGTGCCAAAACCAAGTGGAGTGGTAGCTGTCCGCCACAAGTGCCCTCACATGACGTGATACTCCCGCATTTTGCAGCGTTGGCTTTGCGTCTCCAAATGTTCCAATAGTTCCCCCCCTTTCATTGTAGCGGTTCCTCCAGTCGCAGGGCTGACTTGGCGACAATGGGATAGTAGCGACCTGCAATTGGTAGGGCCAAACCTTCTGAGCAGCGCGCCTGGAACGCCGTCGATACTGGCAGTTGAGGCTCTCGATGCCTTACATGCTTGCTGGAATGAGGCAAGCGTGGGCAAAAAGGCATCTTCGCGCGGTACGTCACGCGCGAGGCACTCCGGCAAGGGGGAAAGCTGGGCCTGCAGAGCTCTAGCTTCACTGATTGGTACAACGATGCCCACTTCCTCGTCTGCGAAATGTCTGAGCCACCTGTCCGCCGCTTCCACCTGTGTGGTAGCCATAGAGCCGTCCTCCAATTCAACCGTTGGTAGGGCACGCGTTGTTAGTCGTTTTGGAGAACCGATGCCCATTCCTCGTAACTTGGCGAAAACAACGTCATACTGTCGTTTTGACCAGGCGCTGGAGACCTCATTAGCTAAGTTGGCACAATGGGCTAGTGAGTCGTCCGTAGTGGCCTGTCTGATGAGAGCCGTAGTATGGTGCAGTAGTAGGTCCCGATGAGCCAGTAGACACGCCTTGGTTCCTTGAAGAAAATCCCAGATGCCCAACAGAAGGGGCCACAGGGATCCGCTGGAAGGAATCTTCAGGAGGTCCAAAGGGGGAAGCGTGATGATGGCTCCTATGTCGGAGTACCCGTAGTGAGGCAGGAGCCTGTGGGGTCCCATCCTGTGTTTGGTGCCCTTTCGCTGTCGAATCTCAGCTTGCCTTCGGAGCAGGGAAGCCGTCTCCTGTGGGATGAGCTTTGCTGCAGGCACGAGCCCTGCAACTTCTCGATGCAAAAAGGGCAGCACAGGAAAGCACGCGTTGGCTCGGAGTGCGTAGTCGTATCTGGTGCGTCGCCACCTCGGCGCCGCTGCACAGATAACCTGCCAAGCAAAAAAGAAAGCATGCAGGCTGGCCTGGTTGACTCTGCGCAGTAGCTTCCGTTGGAGCCTGAGGGAGAGCGACCTCTCCTCTTGCAGATTCAGCGTGTCGTAACTGATCGAATTCTGCCGTGGTCTTTTGCCCGTTGGCGTGGCGCGTGTCGGGAATGCTGTTTCAATAGCCATCCTGATGTGGTCGTCACAATCCTGAGTAGCATGGTCGGTAGCATGAACTCCAAAGTCGGACTGGCGGAATTGCGAGAGCAGGTGGTTGAATAGCTGGGAGGCCACAGGGTCATCATACAACGCTGGGTCGCGTTGGACCTCGCATGGCCTAGGGGGCTCTGGGGAGAACTCAGAGGGAGGGATTTCGACCTGAGCCGTAACCACCATGTGGTCGGGTTGTGATACCGCAAGGTCGATGTCCCTGTCAATCCCCTGCTGTTGGACCTGAAGCGTCGTAGATAGTGTAACGTAGTCCCTTCTTTTGGCCTGTGTACGAGCCCCGGGAGCCTGCCAGTGCCCGCATGCCCTGAGGGGCCCTCAAAGAAGGTAGATGGTGCCCACAGTGCTGTGTAGGAAGCGCTTCAAACATTCTCCTGGGAGATTCTGCTCCTCAGGGTGCGCTCCTCCTGTAGTGTGGTCCGTGACGGATCCTAGTGCAGCATTGGCGCCCACCAGCGTGATGAGGCGCTCCGCTCCTCTCTTTTGTTCTCGGCAAAAGTCCGCCAGATCCTTCCACCACTGCTGAATCTCAGTGGGCGGTCGTCTCGAGTGCGGGGCATGGCCAATGCAAACGCATAAGCTGAGCGATGGTGCGCGAATGGCAACAATCATGACTCTTGCCGAAGCATGCGTCACATAACAATTTGATGCTGCAATGCGGCAACCTGGTGCATATTCCCATTCCGTATTGACCCAGAGTGAGCATCCCTCTCCATTCGTCGGTAGAGCCGCAGCGTGTAGTACCAGATAGTCCCCCACACGTTTGACCCCTGTTTTAGGCACGCGTGTCTCGACTGTGCCCGCAAGCATGCACGGC